GGGAGTTGGGAAATGGGCCGTTTCAGGCATCCTGAGGGCCTCTGAGGGAGTGGGAAAGGCTGTTTTGCCCTTTCCAGATGCATAGAAAGGATCTGGAGAGAGGTAAGAAAGAAAAACGGGCCTACCAGGCCATCACGTGCCAGGAGCGAGGGGAGGGGAGTTGCGTGCACATGTGCAGGGCAGGGCGCATAGAATTATGGGTGTGGGCACACATGCGCGCGAACCTCCCCCCCCCTTCCTGGCATGCAATGGCAAAAAGGTTTGCCATCACTGGCCTAGGACATCCACCATTGGAAGTATTGAAGTACCTTTCGTGGGACCTGAACCCTAGTATTTGAGTTGCTCCTGCCGGATCTTTGGTAGGGCAGGAGGAATTACTGTAAGATTCTGCTGTGCAGGCGTGCCCAGGGGACGATTGCTATGCAGAATACCATAGGGAGACCTCACACGACCTGGTATCTATTACTGCCCTAGGTGTAACAATCGGTTGGAAGGAGCCAGGTGGCTTTTGTTGAAATTGACTGTGAATCCATAATCCTGTAGAACCCGGATTGTGAGTCGCAGGTCCTCTGTCGCCCGGAGGTGAGATGAGGACTGTATTAATATATCGTCCAGGAAACACTGGATGCATACTGGAATCGCCCTGAAGTGTGCCGCCAGAGCCGCCAGAAATTTGGTGAAAGTCCTGGGCGCTGAAGAGCAGCCGAATGGTAGGGCCTTGTACTGATAATGTCAACCCGCATAGCGGAACCGCAGGAACCGCCGGTGGGATGGCAGGATAGGTACGTGGAGGTACGCCTCCATCACGTCTATGGATATTAGGAAGTCGCCCTCTCGAATGCTCTCCAAGATTGACTGGAGAGACTGCATCTTAAATCTTTGGTAAATTAGATGCTTGTTCAATCTTTTCAGGTCCAGAATTGCTCTCCTCCCCCCCACAAGGTTTTTGGGACTACCAATAGGATAGAGTAGAACCCCTGCCGGTCCTTTGGGACTGGTTGAATGGCTTGAATGTCCAGCAAATGTTGGACTGCTGTCTCCATGAGACTCCTTTTTGTCTTGTCCCTTGCTATGGGGCAACTTATGAAGAAATTGGGGGTGTGGAGAGAAATTTGAGGGTCAGACCTAGTCTTACCGTATTCAGGACCCAGGTATCTGTTGTAGTTGTTTCCCATTGACTGGTGAATAGGCTTAAGCGCCTGCCAATTGGAGGGTTGGGTCTGCTGTCACTTGGAGTGATGAAAGGGGTGACTGCCTGTGCCACGAAATGGTCGCATGCCTTGGAAATGTTGTCTATTTCTGTCCCTGGACCCAGATCTGTCTGGTTGTCAGTCTTGTCTGTGGGTGTATGTCCTCTGGGATTGAGTTGAGTCAAACCCCGTGTCTGTGGGCCAAAAGGAATGCCTACAGAAATACAGTGAAGTGCGACAGTCAGCTCGTTTCTAAAGTGAAGGCAGGACTTTTCTTCTGTCCTTGGTCTCCACTAGAATGGGCTCTAGAGCCTCTCCAAACAGCTTGCTACCCTTGAAAGGAGCAGAGGCTAGTTTCCACTTATACTTCATGTCCGCCTGCCAATGGCGAAGCCACAGTAGGCGATGGGCTGCCACCGAAAAACCAATGGCCCTTGAAGTAAATTTGGCAGCATTCAAGGTGGCATCCACCAAGAATTCTGTAGCCACTATCAGTTTGTTAATGTCCTGGTGGAAGCGGAGGTCACGAGGGGAAGCTCTCTCCAGCATTTGACGGAGCCAGAGCAATGAGGCCCTGTTGAAGAATGAGGCAGCTGTCGCTGCTTTGACTGCCCAGGCAGCCACCTAATGCATCTTGTAGAGGGTCAGTTCCGCCAGTGGTGAAATGTAAAATTTGTTACTACTGGTTCTGTGGGCGTGGTTTGGTGAGGGCAATGTGACTGGGTGGGCATGGCCAACTTTTTTTTTTTTTACTTTTAAAAGCATTTTTTCTACAATCTGTTCGGCTGAAGAGGTTGTTTAAAAAAATGCTTTTAAAAGCCTCTGACGATCCTAGCTGAGCCGCGCGATCATCAGGGGCTTTTTTTTTAATTTTTAAAAGCATTTTTTTTTGGCCGAAGAGGTTGATGATCGCGCGGCTCAGCTGGGCGGGGGGGAGGGGCGGGATTTTTGCTACCGGTTCTCTGAACCACCCGCCATCATCGCTACCGGATTGGGCGATCCAGTCCAAACTGGGAGCATTTCACCCGAGTTCTGCCTTTTTATCCTCTATTTTCAGAATATCCTCTGTGTCGTTAGACAAGATGATAGAGGATGTTAAGGCCACCACAGGGCCATCTATAGTTGGTGGTTGCAGTGTCTCGGAGAAGTCTGGAGCCACATTATAAAATCTCTTGTCGCTACCGTTTGGGGGAGGGTATATCTCTGGTTGGGTGCATTGTCTTAGGATCATGTCCCTGAATAGTTTAGGTGGTGGAATTTCCGCACTCTCCCAGGTTGGCTCTGAAAAGAACAACTCACTTGAGTTCATTAGGTCTAATGCTGACTCCATTGTAGCAGGGTCAGCCCCTAGGTGCATTTCTGCTTTGGCCTTAAATAATAATTTAAAGAGCACTGGACGAAAGAGCCCTGCAAAGGCCGGGGGGGTCTGGAGCCATCTCGTCATTCTCAGATAGCTCCATCTTCTTTTAAGTCTTCATTTCTTCAGAGCGATACCCCGCTCTGCATGGAGGCAGGGGATGAGTGAGCCCTTTGGAAGTTTGCTAGATCTCTTTGATGCTGGGATGCTATATATTGGTCTTGGTGCAGGGGAGTTTCAGGAGCTACAGGAACAACCTGACATCCCTGCTGTAGGCCTGTAGCAATGCCCTGTGCTATGGCTTCTGAAATCATAATTTTCATCTGGTCAACAATTTCTGGACCTTGACTTTCCCTTGGGCAAAGTCCCACAGCCGTGGGTATAAAGGTGGCCTCTGCTGCAGCTTTCATCCTCTTTGGAGATGGCTCTATAAAAACCTCATTGCTATCTGTTAAAAGGGATGGCTGAGAAAATTGCTCTCTGGCGCCATCTGGTGACCTGACCTAAGAGCATAGTGGAATCTGTTTCTTTACCTCGATTGGCTGGTTTAGGTGCTGTGCTGGTAAAGAATGAGTAATTTCAACCTTTCCCTCTCTAGGGGAACTTTACCCCCTCCTTTTCTCCGCTTCCCTCTTCGCCATGGCAATTCTTTTGTCAATGGCCTTCTGGCGCTTCCAGGCGTCCTTCTCCTCCGCTTTAGCCTTTAATTTAGCCGCTGCTTCTTTAGTGGCCAACTTCGGCCCTGAGGAGCTTTTCGGATGGCTCTGGGTCTGGATCGGCAATCCCTGATCCTGTTCACTCCCCCTTGGCACTCCTGGGGTCGTGAAATCTTCCATTTTGCTTTCTGTCCCTCCAGACAAGGCAGGCTTGTTCCTATGCAGAACCTTGATGCCACGGCTTTTTTCCCCCTCTTTGCCACTTCTGAGTATGCCCCGGTATTCAACCGGGCAATGACTCCAGCCCTCTCCGATGCCTGTTGGGCCTGGGTAGGGGCCTCTGCTCTATTCAGGAGCCGTAACAATAGCAGCTATGCCGGACAGACCGGGGAGAAGATGGCTTTGTTGGATGGGCCGGGGAAGCCAAACATGGTAAAGGTGGCTATGCCAGACAGACTGGGGAGCCAACCAATGGACAGGGCGAGGCGGCTTTGCCAGACTAGCCGGGGAGCCAGCCGTGATGAGGGCGGCTGTGCTGGACAGACCGGGAAGCCAGCCGATTAAAAAAGGTGAAGCTGCTATGTCGGACAGACCAAGGGAGTTAGCCAGCCGTTCGCTGTCCTGTGAAGGCTTACGCGGACCTTACTTTAAATTTCCATAATCCAAGGAATAACTCTGTTCTTTGTTCTAAGAGCACTCTTCTGCATGTCTCCTCTGATCAAAGACTGAATCAAAACTGGGCATGCGCAGGCAAAGGAGGAGAGACGAAAAGTTTGACTGACTCAGCCTCCAAGAGAAGAGCAGAGTTAACCCATTCCTTGGATTCTCTGCTCAGCACACTGGTGAATCTCCTGATTCAAGTACAATACTACTGCAGTTGCTACCTGGAACTTCTAAAAAGAAATGGAAGAGCCTTTGGCTTTTAATATAAGACTTCCATTTCTTTTAACATTAACATGGAACAAGTGGGGGATGAGGTATATAATATAGCATAAGGCCTATTTCTAATTTTTTAAAAATCTGGATCAGGTGTGTTAAAAACTTCCTAAAATCAGTGACCTGCTTTGTTATTAAAGCCCTCTGTGAGTTAGAAGATAATAGCTGAAAGACTGCTTTTAAGATAACTGTGCACCACAGCAATCCAAGACCTCAAAGATACTCTCTCAGATGTGAAGCAAATAAATACCTTAGAGGCTTCTCAATTAGTGACATGACGTTTACAGAGTTTTTCTCCATATTGTTAGTGGTAACAACTTTAACATTTTTCAATACATGCAATTATCAATCTTTAATAGTTTCTGTCATTGCTACAAGTTTCATTTGCTCCTTTATCTTCTAGATGTTCTCATGAGCTTGTTTTCATATTTGTTGTTCTTCTATATATGGGACTATAAAAAAAGTTTTGTTATATTAATGAAAAAACTTCTGCTCACAGAAGGAGAATTAAGCTTATAGAATAGATTCCATGGATCCTACCTTCCCTGAGCATAAGATGAAATTTTAAAAACCCTGCAACTAAATACATCCATTGCCTTAATGTAATATCAATACTTCCAAATAGTAAAATATTATCAGCTTTCATACTAAACCCTTTTAAAAAGTAGGTTTTTTAACATGATAGAGAGCCCAAATATTACAGATCTACTGTAATTAGAAAAGAGGAAGCATTTTCAAGAAGTCCATTTATATACTTAAAAATTGTTAACATCCTCAATGAAGTACCTTCTTCCACAATAAAAAATGTCACATGGTATACTATAGAAATTTATTAGAATTAAGCAAAGGAATGTATCTTACCTCTGTTTGTATATTTATAACTGATCCAACTCCATTTTCAGTGTTTATATTACTGGAACTATTGTTTGGAGAACTAGGGCCAGATCCAGGAGCACTATTGCATGCAGATTCTGAAATATGTTAAAAATGTTTATTAATATCCTTAACAAGTATTAAATATTTGTGAGGTCTATGGAAACTAGATCATGTACTACCAGATCGTTATGTAGCTGCTGACTTTGTATAGATTAATAATCTTTTCTGAAACACATTGATTCTCAGTCCTGGACCTCTGCTCAAAGAACCAGCAGGCAGTCATGGTGAGAAGTTCAACTTCATGTTGTGCACCAGTTACTCTCCTTCCTGAATAGGGAGGCCCTTCTCTTAGTCACTCATGTTCTAGTCATCTCTCACTTGGATTACAGGAAGTTGTCAATTTACAACTACAATTGGGACCAGAATTTTACTGCTAAGCAAGGCAGTTGTTAAGTGAGTCATGCCTGATTTTATGACCTTTTTTGCCACAGTTAAGCTAATCACTATAATTGTTAAGTGAATCATATTAAGTGAACCCATCTTCCCTTATTTGCTTATCAAAACCAGCTGGGAAGGTTGCAGATGATGATCATATGAGCCTCGGACTTACAACCATCAAAATATATGCCATTTAGCAAACACTTAAATTTTGATCGTGTGATTGTGGGGAATCTGTGACAGCCATAAGCACAAGAAACAATCCTGAATCACTTTTTTCAGTACCATTGTAACTTTGAACAGTCTCTATACAAATGGTTGTAGGATTACCTGCATTGCATGAGGCTACCTTTGAAGAGTATCTGGAAGTTTCCCCTGATACAGAATTCGACTGTGTGACCAATTTTGAGCGCACCCAAACCATTGAGTGTTGGTTTGCTTCTGGGTCCAATTCAAGATATTGGTTATGATCTTTAAAGCCCTACATTACACAGAGCCAGGTTACTGCGGAATCATCTTCTCCTTATTAATTCAGACCATCACATCTGGTAAGGTAGAGAAGATATATTATGGATTCTGTCAGCTGAAGTATTTTGACTGGCAGAGTCCAGGAAGGGAGGCTTCTCTGCCATTGCCCCCCCCCTTCTGAATACCCGCAGAGGTGAGGTAGGTCCTCATTCTCCTGGTTTTTGGAAGAATTTGAAGACCTGGCTCTGCTGATTTGCATGGGACTCACTAAAGAGTATGCAACCTTGGGGTTGGGTTAGTGCTTTGAAGGCTCTCCATTTTCCTTTTTAATTATTCTATTCTTGTTTTAACTGTCTTTTATTGAAATATGCTTTTATATAGGTTTTTATGGTTTTAATTGTAGATTATCCAGAATTGTGCTGTGAATAAGATGGGCAGTCTCTAAATTTGATAATAATAGCTTTACTTAGAACAATTTACATCCTGAGACGATACTTCTAACACAATCAAACACCAACATCTGCCTATCCCAGGTTCTGGAGAAAAACTCAAAAGGTGGATAAAAATGCCAAATCCAATCTGAATATCTGGCTGACTGTGCTATGAACCATAATAATAATAATATATAAATAAAAATAAATCAACTGATTAAATGGAATATAATAGTACTCTTCAAGGATATGAAGGAATGTCACATAGAAGTTATTTTGGCTGTTCTCTATAAGAGTGCAGGGAAGAGACACTGACTTTGCTCACAGGGAGACAAATTCTGGTTGAATGTTTAGGAACAATATCCTGACAGCAAACCCCTTCCCCAGTTTTAAAATTTAAAGAGCTGATTCCAAGGGAAGAGTTGGTGACATTTTTTCACTGAATATGTTCAATGCAATGATAAAGACACTTTAGATTCTTACACTGATCAAGGAGTTTCATCTGAATGGCCCTTTCCATCTCTATGGTTGTATATGATACCATATGAATCCCATCGTTACAGCTTCCCTGGCATGTGGTCATCCAAGTGACTATTTAAACACTTCCAATGAAAGGATCCATTATCTTTCTTTTGCTGACTTAGCTTTTGCAGACATTATTCCTGATGCCATTGAAATTTGTTTTCGTGTAACTTAAACTTACTGTTTGTCTTCTGGAACAACACTGGACAGATCTATCCCATCTTCTACATCACAGCCCTGTTGATAGTTGAAGACAGCTATTCCCACAGTCTTGTCCAAACTAAAGACATGTAATGTCTCCAACTGTCCCTCATAATTTTTTTCTTCCAAATTTCTTATTATCACTTTGGATGCTCCCCTGTGGACATGCTTCAGTTAGTCTATGTCTGTAGGAGCTGAGCAGGCTGAGTCCAAGGGCAGGGTTAAATGCACCATCAGTTTGAGGTTGCTACATTCTCACAAGGGAATTATCTAGCATCAACTTGGCTTGACCATTAGTAGATCAGATTCTTGTAAATAGGTAGCATGTAATAAACTTTTAGTGCTTTGAACTCAATTCCTCTTCCGGGTTACTTACACTTCACAATATCCTTCCTAAAATTTGTGCCACAATTGGATGCAACATTCTAGCTACAGGTAGTCCTTGACTTGCAACAGTTCATTTAGTGACCATTCAAAGTTATAACAGCAATAAAAAAAGTGACTTATGACTATTCTTCACACTTACTAGAGTTGCAACATTCCCATGGTCATGTGATCCAAATTCAGACACTTGGCAACTGACTCATATTTATGACAGTTGTAGTGTTGCAGTCTTCTGACAAGCAAAGTCAATGGGGAAGCCAGATTCACTTAATGACTGTGTTACTAATTTAATAATTACGCCTGGACTACTGCAACGGTCTCTACATGGGGCTCCCCTTGAGGAGCACCCGGAGGCTCCAGCTGGTGCAGAATGCAGCCGCGCGGGTGATTATGGGAGCGACATGGCGCTCCCACGTAACACCTCTCCTGCGCGAGCTGCATTGGCTCCCAGTGGTCTTCCGGGTGCGCTTTAAGGTGCTGGTTCTCATCTTTAAAGCACTCCATGGCTTAGGGCCAGGATATCTGCGAGACCGCCTGCTGCTACCGATAACCTCCCACCGGCCAATACGCTCTCACAGAGAGGGCCTCCTCAGGGTGCCGTCGGTCAGGCAATGTCGGCTGGCGGCCCCCAGGGGGAGAGCCTTCTCTGTGGGGGCACCCGCCCTGTGGAACGAGCTGCCTCCTGGAATATGATTGATCCTGGACCTCCGGACCTTCCATAAAGCCCTGAAGACGTTTTTATTCCACCAAGCCAGCCTAGCCTAAATGGTTTTTAATTGGGATTTTAAATTTTATGGATTTGGGGGTTTTAAATTGGGAAGCTAATGATTTAATTCTTTTTTAATTATCTTAACTTTTGTATTTGTATGTTTTTTAATTTTGGCTGTTCACCGCCCTGAGTCCCCTCTGGGAGAAGGGCGATATACAAATTAAATAAATAAATAAATAAAATAAAATAAATAACTGCAATGATTCACTTAACAATTGTGGCAAGAAAGATCATAATATGGGGCAAAACTCACTTACAAATGTCATCCTTAGCAACAAAAATTTTGGGCTCAATTGTGGTCGTAAGTTAAGGACTACCTGTATGGCATGACCAATGCAGAACAGAACAATAAGGACTTATTTGAATCCTCACTAGATTTTTGTGATAAAGCCTAAGATTGCATTTGCTTTATTTGCTGCTCTATTACAATGTTGGTTCCTCTCAAGACCTCTTATGCTTCCTAGTATTGTGCCTATACTGATGCTTTTGTGAAATAATTTCTAGATGACCTTGGAATACAGGGGAAAAAACAGGACCACTGCAACAGAGATACTTGAGCCTGGGAGAGGATGGAATGTGAGAAACTGCCTTAAAATAACTTTGTTAAAAGTGTAAATTGAACTGGATAATTATTTAATCTGGTTTTCAAAATTCTTTACAATATTAAAAAAAAGCAATGAAAATATTTTTAGAGACCAAAGAGGAACAGTACCTGATCTTTTTCAGTCTTCTGTGATTTCTCAAAGATCATAGGGATCATAAGTTCTGATATAATTTTTGCAACCTTCTTCCTGAATATAGCTGTTCCCATCCTGAAGATTTAAACTTGAAGGCAGATGCTCCTTAACTAATTCTTCCCTTAATTTGTATAGCTTTTCCCTCCCTGTGTTAATACGTTTAGGTCCATTTGAGAATGAAAGTGAAAAAAATGAGAGCTGAAACGGTCTGCCCTCTAACCATCATCACCTGCTATCATCTTATTATCTTCTCCAAGCAGCAGCTCTATCCTTTTTTATTATCTCCTTACCTCCTACTGTACTATTATTTCTGGAACATTATAACAACAATTAAGATCATTGCAATTGTCTTAATCTTCATAATTACTTCCCAATCTATCTGATTGTTTTGAAATTAAAATGTAGTAAAATGGTGCCATTCCAACTTACCTGTGACATCTAATGGACGTTTTTTAAGAGCTGTAGCTACAGGACTATCTTTTCGTCTTAACAATGGACTGCTGCGCCTTTCAGCAACCTTCTGCTTTAATCTAGATCGCAATTTGAGATTGGGTTCAGATGCTGAAATTGACAAAAGTGAAATTAAATGTATTTCATCAAAATAGAATTTCTAGTAACAATGCCTCACTGACAGAAAATAAGAAAACACATTGTTATAAGATCAATATAACAGAAAAAATACATAAGAAATATGATTAATAATATATTAAGATATAGGTAAAGGGTAGCTGATCCAAAACAAGCACAAAAGCAAATAAAACCTATGCCTCTGGAACAATTTAAATGCAATAATAGTTAAAAATAATATTCATTCATTCTATTATTTTTAAATCCACCCTCCATAATATTTAGTTTATTCAAAGAAGGTTAAATACAAAACACCAAAATATTTTTTTAAAAAGCCCAAAAGACATAAAACAACTAACAAAACAATGTGTCTTATAAAAATAGACTAACACATAACAGCCTCCTTAGTTGAATGCTGATTAATATAATACAACGTTAATTTCCGATTCCTTGCAAACCAGGCCAAAAGTGTTTTAAACTACTAAATCTGTTTGCAGATTGTTAGCCTGTCATCTATATACTATATTAATAACAAAATAGTTAACAAAAAATTATAGAAATGTATAAAAGCAGTAAAGATTATTAATAATAATAAAAAAAGAAAGAAGGTTGAAATTCAAAAACTCTCTTTTTAAAAAACTGTTATTGTAATCAACTTGTAGAAAATTTACTACCACTTCAATCAGAGATCATCTCAAAAATTAATCCTAATTGGTCCCGGATCAAAGCATTCTTTGATGCTTAATGCCATCTCTTATCAGTTGCTGATTGATTAAATACAGTTAAGACCAATTTCCAAAACCAATTTATCTTCTCCCCAAAAAGCCAAATGAGATTGTTCCCAATTAAATGTAATAATTCCCATTCTCCTTCAAATACCTTAAAAAGACCCATTTACCACTTATCCACCCAGAGGGTTCTCTACTAATACATAAAACCACAGGATTAAGCTTCATTTCAAGAATGCATATGGAGACGCCCTGTTCCTGGATTCATGTTTCTTCCCAGCCAATTTACTGCCACAGAATCACACTCTTGGCTCTGAGTGCCTTCTACAATTTATGTTGTTTGTATTGTTTTTGAGTGTATAATTCTTGCCAATGAATCTGCTGCTTTAAAAACAAATTTCTTTTGTGGGTGTAAAGTATTTAGGATTGGTTTCTTCAGAATATTTTCCATGATCTGTATGAGTTCATCAAACCTTTTGAAAAAAAATTCAGCTAGAGGTTGCATGATGCTAAGCAGTCTCTCCCGCACCCCATGTGTCAGCTTCCTCTCTGTAATCCAATATGTTGTTGCTTGATGAAGTAAATAAGCAGAACTAGAACACCAAACAAATCAAAGGAACTATTTTGATCCAAAACCTTTTTTTCAAGGTTTCCCTGTGGTGAATATTCAACAAATATTCAACAGATTCCCTGTGGTGAATATTCAACAAAATGTAATCCAAATATAAACACTTTCACCATGTAAAGACACGAGCTGTGCTTCCATACGAGAAAGCAGAAACTGGTGTAAACAATCAAATAAATCAAAGACAAAGCAGAAATAGCAGAAAGAGTCCAGTTGGGGGTTGAAATAAATCAGCATTTAGCGAGCCAATTAACATTTAAAGATAAAAAACAAAACCAAAAGTTCAAAAATTTAAATTTTTGGGCCAAATTTATATATATTTTAATTGTTCTTAATATTTGTAGTTCATGTTCTTAATTCTGGCTGTGCACCGCCCTGAGTCCTTAGGGAGAAGGGTGGTATATAAATTGAAAGAAAAAAAAAAAGTGAAGTTAAGAGCCAGTGGTGGCACAGTGAGTTTGGCAGTTTGATTCCCACCGGTTCATGGTTGACTCGGTCCTTCCGAGGTCAGTAAAATGAGGACCCAGATTGTTGGGGGCAATATGCTGATCTTGTAAACCCCTTAGAGAGGGCACTGTGGAGTGGTATATAAGTCTGCTATTGCTATTGCAAGTTCCAGGCATACTTACAAAAACATTCTGCCAGTAGGAAGAGATGTAAAAAAAAAAAAAAAAAAAGGCCACTGACTTTCTGGCTAGTCTCACAAGGAGCTGTAATCTTCAAGATTCCTCTTCCCAGGTGAGTCCATAGCCACCCAAAAGTCATCTTGGGTCATTCTTTTTTTTTTTTTAAATAGTATTAATTGAAGTTCCAACATTTAAAACACAGTACAAAAGTACAACACAGAAAAAAACCCATAGAAAAACAACATAACAAAATTTTTCCACTAATAACAGCTTTTCTATATCGGTATCTCTGTCATATTTACAAAAGTTCCAATTCTCTATATCTCTATCTTAAATTACAACCTTATTTATATTATAATTACCTCTATTCGTAGTTCAATTTCATATCCTATATTTCTTCAACAATTTTACCTTCTACATATGATATTTAACAGTTTATCCTTTATTTTTTTCGTCTCCTCTCAAGCCAGGAATACCATCTGTTCCAAATTTGATAGTACTTGGTTTCCTCCCTCTCCTTCATTTTCATGGGCAGTCTGTCCATTTCTGCACAGTCATAATTTTTTTTTATTATAATTTGGTCTGGAGGAATATTTGGTTGTTTCCAGTTCTGTGCTAAGACAATTCTACTTGCAGTTAATATGTGTATTGTTATATATTGTAATTTTTCCTCCATTTTCTCTTCAAGAATGCCCAAGAGAAAAAGTTCCAGCTTCATCTCTATTTTCTGTTCTGTTATTCCCTCCAGCCACTTTCTTACCTTACACTAGTATTTTCTAATTTTAGGGCAGGTCCACCACATGTGGTAGAATGTTCCTTGTTTATGACCACACCTCCAACATTCCGGGGACCTGTTCAAGAACATCTTGGCCAATCTCACTGATGGCAGATGCCATCGATTAAACATTTTGTAGAGGTTCTCCTTGTAAGCAGCTGACATTGTTAGTTTGTAGTTTCTCTCCCACAATCTATCTCACTGATCTAATTGAATATTATGACCGAAATTTCTCACCCAACTAATCATTGTCTCTTTCACAGTTTCTTCTTCCATTTTGAATTTTAACAAAAAATTATACATTTTTGTAATCATTTTTTCCCGTTTCTAATAATATCTTGTCAAGTTCCAATTGTTCTGTATATATACCATGTTGTTCCTGGTCTTTTTTGTATTTTGTTCTAATTTGCAGGTATGGCCACCAATAAATTTTTATCCCCTGATTTCTTAAATCCTGCTCTGATTTTAAGTTTCCAAATTCATCTAAAAGTTCCGAGTATCTTATTACTTTGTTTATGTCTAATACGATGGGATAGATTATGGCTTCCATTGTTGAAATCCAAACTGGAACTTTCATATAGTGATTTTTCCTTATATTATCCCAAATATTTAACAAAGCATTTCGCACTAGATGTCTCTGGAAATATGTGTAGGTTTTGTTTTTTTCCTTCCCATAGAAATGCGTGCCAGATCATGGCCTTCCAATGTTAATACTCTCTTATTTCTTAATTGAACCCAATCCTTTAGCCACGTTATTGCCGCTGCTTGATAATATAGTTCCTAATCAAGTAGGCTAAAGCCTTCTTTGGTTTTGGAGTCCTGAAGAAGTTTGCGTTTTATTCAGGCTTTTTTCCCCAACCAAATAAATTTACCTATTATTCTATTCAATTGACCAAAAAATACTTTCCCTAATCTTATTGGAATCGTTTGAAATAAATATAACAATTTTGGTAGTATATTCATTTTTATTACGGCAATTCTACCGACTAAAGATATCTGTAATTTTGCCCAAATGTCTAAATCTTTTTGTATTTGTTGTACCAATTTATCATAATTATCCTCTTTTAATGTAGAACATTTTGCCGTTAACCAAATTCCTAGATATTTTATCTTTTTGACAATTTGAATCCCCAGTTTCTCTTCCAATTCCTCATCTTGCCTTTTGGTACAATTCTTGGTTAATATCTTAGTTTTTTCCTTGTTTATCCAGCCACTTTACCAAATTCTTCCACTTCATGAATCAAGATGGTTCCCGTCTCCAAAGGATCTTCTATGATAAAAACCAGATCATCTGCGAAAGCTTGAACTTTATATTCCTCCTGTTTAATTTTCAACCCTTTTATCATTTGATTTTGTCTAATTTGTGTTAATAATATTTCCAATGATAGTATAAATAAGAGGGGTGACAAGGGACATCCCTATCTTACCCCCTTAGTTATACTAATCCTCTCCATTTTTTTCCCCATTTATTATTATTTTAGCCGATTGTTTCAAATAGATTGCTCTGATCATGTCTGTAAATTTCTCCCCAAAATTCATAATTTCCAATTGGTTAAAAAGAAAATTCCAGTTTAGATTGTCAAACGCTTTTTGAGCATCTACAAACATTAATGCCAGCTGCTTATCCGGGTGGGCCTCATAGTATTATAATAAATTCATAATCATTCTTGTATTGCTCCTTATATGTCTATTTGGCAAAAATCCATTTTGGTTTGAATCAATAATTTTATTTAATATTTTTTTGATTCTTTCAGCGATTATGGTTATGAATATTTTGTAGTCCACATTAAGAAGCGAGATTGGCCTATAGTTCTTGATTTACTGTGTATTTGTGGGATCTTTTGGGATAAGTGATATCAGCGCCTCCTGTTCTGCCCTAGCTACGGACCCCAAAGAACACCTCCATCCATGTCTTTGGTAGTTTGGATTGCCCTAAATCTTCATTGTATATGTTCAACAGTAATATTTCTACAGGTCCCTGTATCTCTTTATAGAACTCAGAGGGGATACCATCAGGTCCTGGAGTTTTGTTATTTTTTTGCTTTTGAATAGCCACCTTCATCTCCTTCATCGTAATGTTGTTATTTAACATCTCATTCATTTCATATGTTATTATAGGGAGATTTCTATCCTTTAAGTAGTTCTTTATTTCTTCCTCTTCTGTTTTCTCCTGGCTATAAAGTTTTCCAAAATAATTTTGGACTATTCTCTTTTTTTTGTCCATTCGATGATGGATATTC